TATAAAGATCTTTGCCTATAAGTTGGACATCGTTTTCCCTCCAAATCAAACTAAATTTCTAGTTTGTAGCGCTAGGTGGCTCATGATTACCAAACCCTAAAAGAATAGACATGTATACAAGAACATTGTAACACACATCAATAAAGTGGGGCAAATTGTTACAAGTTCCATTGGTTTTTTTCATCTGAGATGCCTCTTTTGGTTAACAACATGTTTTGAGGCTGGGAAGTATATATTTGTATGCATACATTATTCGTCCTTCTATATGCAAAGTTCGAATCTCCCTGTAGTTTGGTTTAGAATAAAATATCCTTCAAATAAAAGGAAAAGAGATACTGGGCCAAACCTAGCTACTCTGCAATGGGCCTCTGCATGAGTCGATTTAGATATCACTCCTGATTCGGCCCTTAATAAAAAAGATATAGAAAAAAAATTTTATTCAGTTTGTTTATCTGAATAAAATTGGAAAAGTTACATCTGTTTTCTTTTTTCCCTAAATGGAACATATATCAAACAGCTTAACAGATGTTACACTACACAACCTTCTAATGTTTCTCACTGATGCTACGAAGAAAATATACCTAAAATTCAAAATGCTTATTTCAAATTTTATATGCTAATTAATTTCCCTCACTTTCTGTATTGTGGGAGCCTATGAAATTAGGAAAAGAACCCTGGACCGTCAAATGAGAAGTTGGGGAACAAGTGATCATCCTGACCAAATGGGAAATCCAAACCAACACTTGGAGAGTTGGCAGCTGAAGTTGCAGGCGAGATTATATCTCCACTCTGAAAATTTTGTTCAGCTCCAAAACCCTGCTGAGACATTGAGAAATAGTTTGTTCCTGAAGTTGTAGGTCCCGCAAAGGGAGGAGAAAAACTTCCCAGATAATTGTTGTTCAGTGGTGAGGGATTGTTGAAGGAGGGGAACAGTTCCTCGCTAATGTCTAACCCTTCACTAATGACTCTGAGGCCTTCCGGTATGTTTAAGAGCATGTTTTGTTGCGAATGTTGCTGATTTTGTTGAGATTCCACTAGGTTATTCTGCGGTTCCGTCCTTTCGGGCGGCAACGGTGACGGTGAAGGGGGAGTACTTGTGCCGGGAGAGGCTTGTGTACATGTGTGCCTTCCTCTGTATGTAATTTCGAAGATCGTTGGGTCTTCGTCGGAACGTTGGACTTGCTTTGTGGCAAAACAGTCCTGGACGTTTCGGTGAGTGCACCGGTAGTAGCCTCTGCCAAGGTGAACAAATCTAATGTTATGCACTTGCATGAAGTTTTTTGGTCGACGGTTCAGTTGACCAGTCATAAAGGGTAACAAATTGTTCAAATGATCAAGTCATGCTATCTTATATTTACTATATAGAGCTTCTTGTAATTTAACTTGTGTGGACAATTTTAGTCGTCATTATCTTACATGATTGTATAAGAAAGAAGAATACTCGTGAAATTGTTGAATATCATTTTTCTATCTGTCTGTCTCATCACATGACAGTCATTTGATGAGAAAGATATGATGAAAATGACATAGAGATCTGGAATATACAATAGAGATAACTAAGTTTTCCTTGCCACAAAGAGACTTGTTAATGTCATAGCAATTGAAGTATATAATTGTAGTTAATTTGAAGAAATGTATGAAGAAAATGTAAAGTCCTATACCTTGGATATCTGGCTCCAAGTATGTCCTTCTGGCCATACTTTCTCCAACTAAATCCATCATCAAGAGGCCCCTCAAGCCTCATACCAGATGAAACTCTTATTTGTTGTGTCCACCTTGGCAGAGTTTTCCTGCAACATTCACGAAAATTCAAAATGACCACCAATGAACGTCACCTTAAGTACGAAAACATAATCACGAAAATCTCTTTCTATATTAACCTCTTCCTAGAGGAATCTTTGTTGTCGTGGTCGGAGTCCTCACTCCAGGGGCTTCCATTTAGTGAATGGGGCGGAGACTCAACCATTCGAGTTGCGACATGACCTGTGGGCTGTTGTTGCTCACACCCTGAGGGTGAGCCGATAGAGTTCAGAATGGAGAGCGCCTTTTCGTACGATAGTACGATCTTTTGAACAAGCAGTTCCCGGGTTCCATGAGAGGAAGATGGAGCGTTGAGATCGATCTGTAGCTGCCTAGCCAGCTCCCTCCCTTGTGCTAGCTCATTTACAAGACTCCTTTGCTCCCAATGTATATTGCAGTTCTCCATCTGTTAACAGTAGCACATGAGAGATACAGGAACAAAGTTATCTGTCAAGATTTCGGGGTCGGGCCAACGGGAAATATAAACAAAAACAAGAACTGGGTTTCCAATCGGAGACGGAAACAACCAAAACAAGAAGGGGGAGACAGATTTGTGTGAAGCGTAACTGCGTAACTAAGCTGAGTTTTCGTGTTTTGGATTCGTGTGTGTAATGACCGATTAGTGAGATGGGAAGAATCTGATGGTGGAAAATTGATGAGGAAGGAGAGGGAGAGATGGTTATGGGGATTTAAGGGAAGGTTGTTTTTGAATCAAAAGAAAGTGAGGGAAAGAAATCGAGAAGTTTGACTGAGAAGATCCGAGTGGAATTTCTTCATGGGAGACCAGTCTTTGGTCATAGGAATTAGGGGGTTCAAAGTTTAGAGCAAGAGGAGGAAGTCGAGTTGCTGACCGTTTCAGCCTTCATGTGCTTTTCCCTTCCCATAAGCTACAGCTAAACACCAAAATTATATATCTCAACATCTCACTTTGTGATTTGATGATTTTGAATAGGAGGGAAATGAAAGAGAGTCAACGACTAAGCAAAAGAGGTAGGAGGAAGACCAGAGAATCTTCAAACCTAGTTCCGCGTTGTTACTACTACAACCATTCTACTAAGTTAATTACAAAATTACCCTTGAATTTTAGTAGGTTATTTTGCCCCTTCCTTACGCTCTGTTAAACAGGAGAGGTATAGCTATGGTCAGGTATTCTTTGATTATTTATTTTTAGTAGAATGAATTGTTTTTTGACCCAAAAACTACTAAAAAAACACATGTTAAAAAATAATATTTATTATATATCATGTTGCTTATTGTCGATTTTCCTGTAGTGAAACTTTTTTATGGTTTAGTCAGTTTAAATCGTCCTCACTTTTTTCAAATAATTTTTCAAAATTTATTATAATTGAGAAAAATGGTTCTAAACTATAACAATAATTTAGAAGAAAGAGTTTCGAATCCAGAACACATAAATAAAAAGCTAACATTTTATCCATTATGATATTAGACCACATGTTCTCGTTAAAAGAGACTAAGCCAACCAAAATGATAGATTAGATTTGTTTGTTTGGCCCATTTTTTAGCATATATGCCTACTCTCAAACATAAGTGGACGCGTGCCAAGAGATGAAGAGCATTCTAGTCGTCACGTGCTACTCTATTAACGTTTATAACAATACACTTTCTATCCTTAACAATCACACTTTTCAAAAGTTTATGAGCTAATTTGAGACAAAATAAAAGGACCAAAGCCGAAAACTCGAGAGTTTAGGGGGCAAATAAGAAAAAAAAAAGTGAAATACACATGACATCAGCTTCAAAACTTTGCTTACGTTAACCATGCAAATTGTTTAAGATCTCCAATATTGGAAGAGACAAGAGGCTTAGACCCAAAACCCAACACAAAACTCGATAATCTAATAATTTAAGAAAAATTAATGAAAAATATTTGAAAACTTTAAGTTTTAACGATAAGAACAAAATAAAAGGTAAAGTGAATATTATCAGGGTTGACTTTTTAGTGTAAAAATATGATTTTTCGTTAAAATAAATAGTACCGGAAGCTTTTCGTTAAAGCTCTCAATAATTTAATGGTTGATAATTTGATTAATTAAGTGTTAAAAACAGTCAAATTGCCAAGAACCAGCTACTAGCTAGCGTATTTTTAGTGCCTTATTATTAGTGAAGAACGGTCGGTCGCGTAACATACTTAAGCTTAGTATAATAATCTTTCTTTCCTTTAATTGTGTTGATATTCATAAGATTTACGGAAAGTTAGAAACTAGGCAATTTTCCCAACTAAGAAAAAGCAAATAATGTAGTCTCCCGTCCTCACACGTTGAGCAAGCGAGCGTGTTGACAGTTGAAACATGGATGCATGCATGGTTAATTTGAACATGTTTTGTAACAAACAAGAGCACTAATTTTGTTTAGTATTTGATAAATAGGGAACTTTTAATCACTACGGAGTGCCCCGATGGTTGAGAATGAATTCCAGGTTTGTATTTCACACGGCCTGTTTTAGGTTAAATTCCTAACATCGGTAAATCATACGATGGTGATCAGAAAAAGACTGAAATGTCACCGTGAGTCTTTTCGGTCTCCAAAATAGTAGATTGGCTTGACGAAGTAATGAACTAATCCCTTTAAAAAAAAATAAACAGGGAACGTTTAAGATAATCAAGATTACACATGGGATATAATCATTAATTAAGTTCAAGTAGAATCTGTTTTTATGGAATATTTTATGTGGGATCTGATCGATCGGTTCTAGGTCAGATACGCAAAACTTCTTTTATTGTTATGTTTAAGCTAGTGTGACATTATTTTAAGGTTTGGAAATTGGAACTTCTAGTTCAGCCAACACGTTTTGTAAGGTGAGGTACCAACCCAAAAGATTGAAAAACAAAGAACAACTTTTAAACTTTTGTTTTGTTTCCTTGTTTTATGGATATTGTTACCCAAAAGATTGAAAAACAAAGAACAACTTTTAAACTTTTGTTTTGTTTCCTTGTATTATGGATATTGAAAGTTGGAAACTAACAAAGTATCCCCCCTAGATTTTTACCGACAAATCGTCTCATCATATCCATAGTTAATAGTCAAAATAGTAGTATACATATATTATATACAAATCATCTCATCATATCAATAGTTGATTTGATAAACAATAGTAATATTTAAGAATAAGGTTGTATCGTGATAGGTTGTTGAAATTGCACCTTCCAATTAAAATGGTAATTGAAATAGAAAATTGATCAATTCCTTAAAATGGGTCTTGCATAATAATTTAGTCATTCCACTAACTATCCGTTAACTTTCTATTAGTATGTTGATATGGCAAACGAATAGATTCTATTTATTTAATTGTGTGATGCCACATGGAATAATTATTCATATTTTTAAAGATTTAGAAATTAAAATTGACAAAA